GTGAGCCGTCTGAGCCCAGCGCAGCACGAAGCGTCTTTCAGCGTCGCGAGTTGACCTGCTTCCAGCGCTTGGCGGTTTAAATTGGGAAAAGCTGTGCAAACCTCTGTCGCCGCTGAGGCTTTTTCGTTGTTAGATTGCTCGTTCCTACCTTTGGTAACTTTACCTCACGAACCCGATGTTTTGTTTATTGGCTGTCCTGGCTTTTATTTTAAAGTCAGTGTTTTGCCCTTTGCATTCACAGTAAGTGCTTTTCTTAGATTGAAGTACAGAACTTTGACTTTTCCCACTTATTTAATTTATTTTTAATGCTCACCTGAGGGTATTTTCCCATTGCTTTTCAGAGAGTGGGGGGGCGGGGGAGACATGATGCGGAAGAGACGCCGCCGGGCTGCCTCCGGCCTCCCGCCCGCACCCCGGAGCTGGGGGTCGGGCCTGCAACGTGCCCTTGGCCAGATAGAACCCCGGACCCTCAGTCTGGGGGAAGCCCAACCCCTGAGGCATCTGGCCGGGCTCTCCTAGTTGCTTTAGGGCTGCGTGATTCGCTCCTTTCCAGTGACTAACCTCTGATAAAGCACAGCAGAGTCTTTAAAACAGTACCGTAATTTTTAAATTCTGTGGCCGACAGTGCCAATATCTGGGACATTTCAGGTTCTGCCTTGTGTCTTGACAGCTGCTCCCCCTTTGATGTGTTTTGTAATTTTTGAGTGAAAGCTGGATACTGAAGGTGAGGGATGTGAGCACGTCTCTCTTCCTGCCAGGCTGGTAGTTTGGTGATTTGATTCATTGGAGTTAGGAGTTGAACCAAGTGCCATTCACTTTAATTATTGAAACGTTGATCTTAGTAGGGCCATTAGAATTCGTCCCTAGGGGCCATTTTACAAATAGAAGCACAAAGACAATATTGTTACCCTCTAGGAACTTTAAAATATCCAATATTCTTTCCCAAGTCATCTCTTGTCAAACTTTTAGAAAAATTTATTTACTAAAGCATATGAGGCTGAAACTTAAATCCATCTGTTTTAATTAGGTGATGTTACTTTGGGAGCCATGGTTTAGCTCTGCCAAGAAAAATAACCCAAGTTCGTATCTGGAAAACATGTTACTTGGTTTTTAAATTGAATAAAAGTTTGTGATATTTGTGACCATTGTATCAGTTTGGATTCATAAGTTCAGTAGTCAGGTTACACTATTTACTTAATACCCACAGTTCAGATAAGCTGCTCTAGAGATGCTCTTGTGCAGGATGGGCACAGGTGAGAAAGTCGAGGATGGGAGTCTCCCTTCCCGGCCTTGCCTATTTTGACCATGGTTGTCATGGAGATGCTGCTCCTGCTGTAAATGTTCTATCTTATGAAGAGAGATTTCCTAACTTTTTTTAAGTTAAAAAAAGATTAGCTGAGAATAAGCTAGCCCACATCTCATAAAGAGAATTTTCTGATTTACCAAAAACATTTCTGGGCAGTGACGTATCAAGTGTGCACTGTGGTCTTGCCTCCCGGTTGAAGATTCCGAAGTGCAAGTGGTTAGGAGAATGCGTAGCTTCCCATCTGCACTGTCCCCCGGGAGTCCCGTGATTCGGAGCCTCCTCTGTGCTGAGATTTCGGCTTTTCATTTCTGTTTTAGTTCTCGTGTTTGTCCCTGTTCAAAGTTCAGGTTTAACTACCCTTGTTACTCGTTGACTTGCTTGGAAGGCTCTGCCCCTCACCAGGAGTCTCTGTGGACGCTGCCTCTGGTTTCCTTGTGGCCAGACTTTGATTACAGAATCAGGAAAAGCCACGGGAGATAAACCGACTCCATGTGGGTGCATTGTGACCCCAACGGACTGGAAAAGTTGATGAGAAAGGAAATGGCATCCAGTCAGGTGGTAAAGTTCAACAGGGTCATAAAACATTACGTATGAGCAAAAGTTACCCAATGGAACAAATGACCTCAAATGTGTTTTTTTGAGCAACTTGGGAAGACATTAATTTGCCTTTGGAGGGCTAAATGCAACCAAAGTCCAACCAAGACTAGGGAGACTCTAGCTGCCAAAAGGCAGAAGAATTAGGAAAAG